TTACTACCTTCTCCATCTTTCTCAACAATATTTTTCCGTAGGTTGTTCAAAATTATCTTTTCACTTGGCCTCTTTTTTTGGGGATGAGCTTTGGTCGTGACTCCACTTGAGATGGTTCCTATTCAAACTAGTGAACAAATTAGTATGCAATTGATATATAAAATTAGTATGAAACTCGAAGATTTTACATTACCTTTTTAACACCCCTTTGTGAACCCGTTCCGCCTCATGTACCCCCTTCACTACTTTGTCTACGGAAATTAGTCCTAGGCCTGCCTGATGGTCTGACATCTTTCAATGATGCATCTTTTTTCTCATTGTTGCATGATCTACTGTTATGACATGCTTCATTACACTTCGTATATGTCATTCTTCTTCCGTGTCTTCCAATCTGTCCTGTTGAAGTAAAAAATCTTTCCACTGCATCCCTTCTTCTTTTAAGTTTTGGCCTTCCAGGCAATTTTCTTGGCAACGACGGCAAGGGGCCATTGTGATTGGTTTTCGGCCACATTTTAATTCCGTTTAAAGTTCTTAAATAATGATTGTATGATTAAATAAACATTCTTTTTCTGAAACAATTTGTAACATAATTTCTAGAATCTTGTTTACGTACAAGATTGCAGTCATAGCATGGGCAGAAGGCAAACCCGATAGTTGCCACATTCTACAAGTACATGACTTTCGTCTACATCAACTATGAAAACATCTAACCCACTTTTAAGCTAAAAAAGATCACCCTTGCATGGAAGTACATGCCAAAATCTACATGGAAATGAGAAGTTAATGAGTTTATGAACAATGAGTACTAAAGTATATAAGCGACAAAATAATACCTTTGTTGTTCCTTTAAGTGCTCAAATTTTTTCCTAATAGCAAGGCATATATCATCCACCCATTTCCCAAATCTCTCTCTCATTTTAACCATTCTTTCAATCATTATCACTCTAATAGCTTCAAGCAGTGTAAAGATTGGCTTTCTTCTAGCATTTACCAATAGTGAGCTAAAACACTCACTAATGCCAATTTCGACAACATCACATGCTCTATGCGTTTCAAAAATGCACGCAACCAAGTATGATGTGCTTTCTTCATAAGGTACATATATGCATCAAGGTTGGCCACTTTGACTTCACATGGAAAAAAAATCAAACAGTTAACAAAAGCATAAAAGGACAGTTCTAACAGCTGAAACACATTTTAACAACTTACAACAATAATAAACAACTTATAACAGCTTAATAACAACTTAAAACATTTTTGGAAGTGTAAATACCTTTGATTTCAGACATCTAGGGGATGCCCAGAAAAGGCTTATGAATTGTACACCACTAAACTTCTTTCTAAAATTTGCATAAATATGTCTAACACATTGTCTGTGTTCAACCACCGGGAGCACATCCTTGATAGCCTTAATCAATCCTTGTTTCAAGAAACAAAAAGTTATTTTTTTGATTAAAAACAATTATAAGAGGCATAAAAACACACACTTAACAAGACGTAGAAACGACAACACAAAATGTACCTTATATTGATCTGAAATCAAAGTTGTACCAGCACCATCGTTCAAAGATAGGTCTTCTTTCAACAAGTTAATAAACCATGTCTAGTTTTCTTTGTTTACAATTTTCACCACCACCAAGGCAATTAGGAATATTTGATTATTGGCATTTCAACCAACGACCGAAAGCAACTCTCCTTTGCATATCTATACTATATTATAAAGCATTTGACAAAAAACTCTTAAAAATCATTTTTTATACATGAAGTACTGCTTATTGATGCATATTACTTAAAATTCAAGATTACAAGTAAATTGTGCATAAGTACAACTTATTAAGCTTCATATTTGAATTCATGTAACTAACTATAGATAAATATAATTAAATAGAGGATAAATATCTCATTTTAAATATAAAAAATCTAAAATATAATTAGGATAATCATTGACTTCTAACAAAATACTT